GCGGCGGGGGGGGGGGGGGGGGGGGGGGGGGGGGGGGGGGGGGGGGGAAGAGACGAGCGAGGCCCGGTGGCTGCAGCCGCCGGGGCTCGCAATGGAGGGGAGGAGGCGGGGGGGCTCGCAACAGAGAGGGGGGAGAGCCCGGCGGCTGCAGCCGCCGGGGCTCGCAATGGAGGGGAGGGGGCGGGAAGAGACGAGCAACATTTTGTTGCGGGTCCACTCTTGTGTCTCCTAATGCTAGCACCAGGAACGTTTCCCTGAGAGGCAGCAGTCTTAGCCTGCTGCAGCAAAATAAAAATAGGCTTGGTTGTTTTGTCACATTTTCGTGGTTGATGTGATACTTAATTTAGCAAATATAGTAAAGGAAGTAATAGGGTAGATTTTGGTCTGTCCCTTCATTCCGTTTTTTAAAAGAATTCTTTTAGATCCTCTTGTCCTTTGCAAAGAAATCCAAAGGCGATCTCTCTCCCGTTGGTTTGCTTTAAACAAAGAAACAGCCTCTCCCCGCATGTTGTTTTTAAATACTCCTTATTCCTTTTGCCTATTTCAGAGTGACCTTGACCTATAACTCGTGACCTAAAAATGTAATTACTTTTAAGTCCTTCTCCGCACAGCTGCCACTATGAAAAAGTATATAGAGAGGTTTGGTCACTCATGTCAGAGGAGAACCTTGTAATTGTAAGTTAAGCAATGAGATGCTGTCCGTTTCTGCTCCGCAAGGCAAGGTTGTTGCTTTGGAGAAGGGAAAGGAGGGGGAGCCCATAATAGAATCTGTTATAAATTACTGAGTCTATCCCAGGGTGGATTAACTTCTTAGTTTGCTCCTTTGGCATCTTGGATGAGTGGGACGCCTGTTTGGTTTTCTTTGCTCACTCACCAGTGAAATTCAGAATGGTGAGAAAACAGCCCCCGTTTTCTACTTCCACGTCTGAGGCTTGTTCCAGAAGGGACTCATGGCAGAATTTTCAATGCAGAGTAATATTAAAACTTGGCACAAAGGCAGGGATAAATTTCTAAAAGAGAGAGCGCGAGAGAGAAATAGGGATCTGTTGTAGTCCAGCAAGAGTAATTTGCACACAGTTGCTTATATGAAACGACACTATTTACTACTTGCTGAATCTTCCCCACGTGCAACACAGCCTCTGACAGATAGACTTGTTGTTGTTATCATTATTACATTCATATCTGTATTCTTGAACATTAAAAGTTCTTCACATGCGTTATCTTAGTATAGTAGTTGGGAAGATTAGATACATGAAAGCACCTTGTAAATTAAGCTAGTAAAACTGTTTCTGTGTTGCAGATGGAATGCGGCCACCATGTGAGCTTGTGACTGTGATGAGGGTTGAACCCGGGACTGTAATCATGTAGATGCACTAGTGACTTGTGCTTGCCTGAGCTTGAAACTAGCAAACTGGATTTGTGGAAGCCAAGTGTGCACCCTACTCTTTACACAATGGGTCTCTATGTGGTTGAACTTCTGGTCAAGGACAGGCACTTGGAGTCTGAAGAATCTGTACATGTTTACTTAATCAAAAAGTATTAACTTCCCACCTCCTGCATACATATTGTGTACATTTATGTTAATTTATCTTATTTTGCCCAAATGTATCTATTTTCTGTTTTGCATAATTATGGGAAGGGCAGGAATGCTGAAGCTCCTCCCAGCTACTTAAAAACACACCTATTAAAAATACTATATCTCTAGATTCTAAATTGTACAATCTAGAGATATAGTATTTTAAATAGGTGTGTTTTCAATCTGCTCTTAAATCGTATAATCTGTATCGGCAATTTATGCCAATAAAGGCTAACTTGAACTACTTAAAGACTTGTTCAGCTCCCTACCCCATGGCTTATGGAATTTCAGCCATGTTTGGAAACCAAATATGTCTCTTGGCAGTCCAAGCCTTTCCTTGTTTGGTGTCATTCGTCTTTCCCTCTGCTGAGGGTTCTTTCAGCAAATGTGAAAATGACTGCTAGTCCTTAGTATTTCCCTGGGCAAGGTGCCATTCATGCAGGAAATTAGGTGTGGGAGCATTTTAACTTCCTTACTCAGTAGTTTAATAGCAGGGCTCTTTTTCTTTCAATGGTCAGGTATCTCAGGAGATAAAGTAGAGGTGGACCCTGTGACAAACCAGAAAACCAGTACCAAGTTCTGGATTAAGCAGAAGCCGATTTCCATCGACTCAGAACTTCTTTGCACCTGTGACCTTGCAGAAGAAAAGAGCCCAAGTAAGTTTTTTATTTCTGATTTCTTCCCCTTGCTACCACCCCTCATTTTCCCATTCAGTGGGAGGAACATATACTGCCCTCAGATCCTTCCTCGTGCAGGTCAAGATTTTCCTAATAAGTGACTGCCCTGATACTGTTCTTCTAGAAGAAGCAAGCGCTCATTTCCAAAAGCAGAATTATGAACAACTGTAGGGGAGCTGCTGCATTGACCTGGTGGTCCAGGCTAGCCTGATCTCATCTGATGTTGGCTGCTAAGCAGGGTCGGTCCTGGTTAGTACTGGGATGGGAGACCACCAAGGAAATCCAGGATCATTCCACAGGGGCAGGCAATAGCCAAACACCTCATTTCACGCCTTGCTTTGAAAACCATCCAGGGTTGCTATAAGTCAGCTGGGACTCGATGGAACTGTCTGCCAACAAAAGAACACCTTTTAATGCCACAGCCCAAAAATTGCTGATAGGTCCCTGCCACACAGCAGGGAAAACACCAAAGTGCGGCTAATTAGAGCCACACCAAAATAGAGACACCGCGGCGGGATCCCACGGATCCCCTGAGCCGCAGCGGCGTTGCTCCCCGGCACGATCAGATGCCGGGGAGGAAGACACGGTTGGGAGGGGGAGGCTGCCGAACTGCGCATGTGTGAGTATGCGCAGTTCGGCCAGGAGCCGGGGATGCGCCGGCGGACGGACGCGCCGGCGATCCCACGGCCGGCCTTGATGCGGACTTCCCGGATGAACAACCTCGGTAGGTGGTTCATTTTTGCTGCGGGATTTTCGGCGGAAGGGCCGGATTGGGAACGGGAGCGCAACACTTCCCAGATGTTGCGGTGGGATCGCGCCCGTTTGCTGCGGCCCCGATCCAGCCCTCTCTCAGCCCAAAACCTCTCGTGTAACCAGGGCCATAGTTTCCAGGCAGCCTTTTAATTTAAAACCGCTTATTTCTAAAATGAGGAAATCGGGCATTCTCCCTCCTTCATGGCCATATTTTGTAGTACCTCTGCTGGCAGCAGCTTGAATTGGGGGGGGGGGGGGGGCAGGGAACCAAATGCCAGGGCAA